AAAAATGCAGCAAGAAGAACTGCATCAGGTAGACCCACAGGAACCGATGGATCTGACTCTCGTATCGAATGGTAGTGAATCCCGTAAGTGATCGTTGAAATATCATATTTTTCCAGTGTATCTATCAATTAAACTGCTAGTTTTTTTTCCGTGCGTAATTCTGAATGGTCACATCAAGTAATGGAGCTCTATTTTATCAGTTTTCACAATCAGTGATAGCATTTTTTTCGTTTCGGTTTTATGTGACCACCTCATTAGGTTATACGAAAGTGGCTATAGGGAAGCAGCGACTCCGTACTCTGGTCATTTTGCTGGTAAACATAATGCTCCTTAAACAGTTAAAATGCATCTACAAAGTATGTGCACTCGTTTCAATTTTTCTTTATCTAATTTGCATTCACGAACTATCATGGCTAGTTAATACTCAGAAGAACTGTGATGTCTAGTTTCGTGTAGTGAGTCATAAAATTAAAGTCGTGGTTCAACTGCTTTGCTTCCCAAATTTTACCAGTTCAGGTAACATAAAAGTAGAATTCTCCCTCGGAATAGATTAAGTACATACCACTTCCACTTGTTAATTAGTAGCATTCGGACTAAAGGTTTATAGTTTGTTTCAGTTTTCTTTCTACCATTATATCTTTTTTAAAAAAAATAAAAAAGGTGCAACCTGTATACAAAGATTTTCAAGTTTAACAAAACATCAATAAGGTCCCCCAAATCCTCACTTAGATACAGAGGTTGACTGTTAGTCGATCTTTTTGCCACTATGTATGAATAAATTCAACAGCCTTTAGTCTCTTGTCCTTTTGTGAACTTCTTCTTTTGGTAAAGGTCCTTTGATGAACTTTTAATCTTCTTCTTGCAGACACTTGTGTATATGTCTTCACTCTTTCATGCACTTCTACCAATATTGAAGGAGGAGAGCCCCAGTATATTTGCAATTTCATATGCTGCTCTTGGCGCTATTTCTTTGCTTATAGGGGAAATAGGTAACTTACTGGATCCCCCCTTTCTTTTAACAGCTTTAATAAAATATTTTCCCACAACTTCCAGCTTGTTTTCATCAGTTTTATTAGATTATCTGTACCCTGTGTCGAAGGTCGAAGATGGAACCGGATAAATCTTTTGATAATTTGCTTGGTTGGCTCATCCATTGCCCAAGTTCTATCGGTACTTATTGCTGTCAGAAATAACTCAATACTACAGGTAAGTGGATCTATATTAATAGGATGTGTAGTACAGCTACATACAGGTACCCCTCTGATGGGTATCAGGTTATTTTACATGGTAACCATGAGCCCTTCATGTTATTTATGTTTTATAGTTTATAAGGTTTAATTTTACTAGAGTTTGCTGAGAATAAATATAGAGAAGATTAAAGGGTTTTCATAGATTTGTTTTTGATATAACATTGACTTGCTTAGCGGTATATTTTTAAAAAATGACTTGTTCTAGGTTATAATTTTCCTAAAAAATTGTTGCCGAGTTAGGTAGGGACATACCCTGGCTCTTGATACGTGGGGTACACTGAAGCTGGTCAGTTTAGTTTTGATAGGAAGAGAATATTCTATATTTTGGATGTCAGATCAGGATATGTATTTATCCACAAATGCAATTTCGCTCAGTCTTGGTCAAGAATTTAGAATGAGAATGTCTTCTATCAATTATGTGATTCTCAAATCAATAATGCACCTATTGTGTTCATCTACAAATTGAGGTAATCTACCTACTCAGGAATTAATATGTTAGGTTTAGGGTTTTATTGGGTGGATAAAAGTAGAAAATAGATGGATTGGAGGTTTGTGGTTGTATGTAAGGGGTGATTTGGAAACTCTAAGATGCATTTTAAGTGTCAATTAGTGTCTGTTTGGATTTTGATGTGTTCAAGTCTTTTAAGACATATTTTTTTAATGGGATGAGAGTAGTGGATGAAATAAGAAAATTGATCAAAAATTGGGGAGAATAGAGGTAACTAGGCATCAGACTTAGGGTCCTGTGAGCATCACACCTGAGGTCCGATTACATCACAATCAAGATTGTTCGTTACAATCGTAAAGCATGAATATTATAATCTTTATGTTGTAGCTGGACCTGCACGTCACTCGCAAAGCAGGGGAGAGGTGAGGCATCGGGGATCTTTTCTGCTAAAACCCTCTGAAGATCAACTTAGTAAAGGGTTGTTAAAGAAAATATAATTTCTTATCAGTTAAAGAAAAATATTGGGAGGGGTTAGAGTTGCCAAAAATAACGAATGCTTGGGGAGACGGTACTTGTAATAAGTAGCATACCCAGTGTGCATGGCATATGGCAAGGGAAATTGGGGAATCTCTCAAGCGGTAGTTAATCTTCAATATGAGTAAATGGAAATCACAATATAGAATAAAATGAAGAAGTAAATTACATATCTTTTCCCATAGTTGTTTAGGGACAACAGTTGGTATTAGCACAATCTTGAGAGCTGGCATGTACCTAGGGCCAGCAAGTACTAAGAGGCATGTCCTCAGACTATGAGTATCACCATCCTGCCTCCTTGGACCAAGATTTGCGTATTTTGAAAGGCAAGAAGCTGAATTATGGATCTTCTTTTTTTGACCTATTCTTGTACATGGAAGGCGGGGCTTAAAGCTTTTTTTTTTTTGGCCCTTGTTTTTTCCTCTCAATGTTTTTTCTTCATTTATTTTGGAATTACGCCATCCAATATTTTCTGTTAATATTTCTGAACTTTTGGAGAAAAACCTTATGGGTATAACTAGTGAATTTCTGGATGATGCATGGTAGGATAACTCTACTGCAAATATCTCTAGAAACTATGTGAAAGTTTTGGAACCCCATTGGAGGTGTTGATAGGAATAGTTAGATGGAAGATTTTGTTAAGGGGGCAGGCTCAGTAATCTGTTCCCCCAGATTTAAACACTTGCTTGCTCTAAGGACATCACTGTTGAAGAAGCGAACAGAGAAGGAGTTGATCAAAGAAGCTGGAACATAAAGTTGAGCAGAAACCTTAATGATTGGGAAGTGGAAGAATATGAAAACTTTTTGAAGCTGCTTGCAAGTAAATACATGTCTGAATGAGCAAAGGAATACACCATTATGGAAACTGGAAAAGAAAGGAAGATTCACTGTTAAACCATTTTGTAATTTTTTGGTTAATCGAAATGGCTCGGGGGAGAACGATTTCCCTGCAAAACAGATTTGGAAAGTGAAAGCCCCTCCTTGTGTTGCATTTTTTGCGTGGGATGCTGGAAGAGAAAGCATTCTGACCATTGACAAACTTAAAAGAAGGGGAAATACTTTCATGAGTGGTTGTTTCTTGTGTAAAAGGGCTGAGGAAAATAGTAACCATATTCTGTTATGGTGTCTGGTGGCTTATAGCTTGTGGACAATGGTGTATGGTATTCTCGGTATTAATTGGGTTATTGCAGGTAATGTAAAAAATGAGTTGTGGGCTTGGGAGGGTTTAAGTAGGGGGAGGAAAATTGTAAAGTTAATATCACAAACTATTTTTTAGGTGGTGTGGAAGGAGAGGAACCAAAGGGTGTTTGAAGGGATTGAGAGTGACTTATCAAAATTGAGGGACAGATGGCTGCATTATTTAGGTTCTTTGTGTTTGGGTCATGACAGTCTGGGGATAGAAGATTTTGGAAATTTTATTCATATACTGATTGAGTTGTAAATCTTTTGTACATGGGTGACACTACCTTTTGTGCCAACTTGTGAATAATATACTTTACCTTTTTATTTCAAAAAGGAAGAGTTTGTTGAAGTACTGAATAGATATTGCGCATCAGTTGATAGAATTACTTCTCGAGGTCTTCTGATTTTGCTGTTTATTGTCTATTCTGTAGGTTATCCAAAAGCGCAATGACCGGGGAATAGATGAAAAGATGGGACTTTTTGCTGCAGCAGCTGGTGTAATAGGTTGCTATCATAACCTCTTTCTGATTATTATATCATATTTTGCCAGCTGTATCTTGGAGGCATCATATTTCACAGTAATTTTCTAATATTTTGAAGTAATTTATGACTTGTGTAGTAATTAGATAACTAAACAATATTATATGATTATTATACAATGTTACTTGATTACCACACAAAGCTCCTAATTTATTAGAAATATTAAAAATTACTAGAGACATGATGCCTCTCAAGTATTACTATATTTCCCATCTTGCCATGCTTATATCATAACAACATTTTCATGAAGTCACCTCGTGTTTATGTAAATTGCAGGATTAGTGTTACAGATACTTATAATTGTCACTATAACTTCTCTTGTCGGGAATATGTCTCCTCCAAAAAGAGCTTCTTAATGGCTTCTTGTGGCATGGCAATTAGTCCCCCAAAGATTGGGAAAGGGCCATACGCCTAGCACATTAGGTTATTTCTCTTAAATTGTTTTTGGAAGTACCATTATATATCTTTTGAATTGCAATATATCTGTTAGTGAGATAATTGTTTTACCTATATTTGTGGGATTGTTTCAATTAGCATACTAAACTTTTAGGACAATTTTCATCTGTTGATGCATAAAAAATTATAATCTTTATCAAAAAGAAATTAGAATGAATTTTGACATAAATATGTATGTATTATACACGGATAGCATTTTGATTTAATTTTCATTTTTTCTTTGTAATAATAATAAATAATTGCTTTGAACAAAAAAAATAAACTCTTCCTTATTATCCTCCCTCTCTCTCTATTTCCACAATCAATGTCCACATTTTAATTATTAAGATCAGGAGCACTAGAATCCCCCTCCTAACTTCTGTTTAAGCCACATGCATAAAACGGTCTCTCTAGCTCTCTGACTATACTCTTTCCCTGTTTTGCCACCATTTGATGGAGAAACAGTTTAATGGGTTTAGTTATGCCTTGATTTGGAGGATGCTAAGTTCTGCAAATGAAAGAATGATAAAGGATGAGATAAGATGAGAGAAGTGGTGGAGATAAAGGAGACCAATAGAATGATGTTTGGTTTGTGGGAAAATGAATGAAATTGATAAGCGGAGGAGGAAGGAAAGTGTAATTCGTGAGGATTTGTTGTGTACACCAAAAATAGTGTTGCTACCTCTAGGAAGCGATGAAGATTAGATTTCATGAATTTTAAGTGCAGGTGTTGCCATATCATGTCTTTGGTAATTTGGCTAGATCCTCAGTCTCTTCGCCTTAAATCCCGTTGTTAGGTCTCTGCACATCTCTATGGTAGTGCTTAGTGAGTCCAAGACACTATTAAATATGCAAATAAAGAGCGTTTTGTACATGTCTCTATATGGGTAATACATGGTAACACCAAAGAACATTTCCATTGTTGTTTCAAAATAAGATATATTTATAATTAAAGTACAATTTGACAAGACATTTGTGTAATATAACCAGGAGAACTATTCCATCCTTACAATTTAGATCCAATATTTCCCTCGCTACCGCCAACTGTTTCATCAGGTCCAGAAGTAATTCTATCCGAAGCTTCTCTCAGCTCCCTCGACACCGCCAGCCTATTCTGAGCGTACACGTGTCCGTCCCACTTCCTCCCAACCAACTCCTCCCCTAATCTAACCGCAGCCTCAACCGTCTCCTCAGCGCTACCGTGCGCTGAGTCCACGATTCTCATCTCCACTCCCTCCGTCGCCGTGATCTTAGCCGCTCGCATAATCACCTCGCGCATCACCTTCGGTGACCCGATCTTCATCCGAAGGACAGTCACAAACCAGTCCGGGATCACAAGTCTAATGTCCATCTCGCTCATATAAAGAAACCCCCTGTCCTTCCGCATAAGCACATAGTCGTGGCTTAAAGCCAGGATTAAGCCGGCGGCGGACGCGTGGCCCGAAACAGCAGCTATGGTCGGCATCGGGAGGGAAATGAGGTCGGTGACGAGGGAGAAAAGCTTGTCGGACATGAGCTGGCGCTTGGAGAGAGATGATCCGGCCCATTCGAGATCGAAGCCATTGGAGAAGAACTTTCCTTGGGCTGTAGTGATCAGAGCTGAACACGGGGAGCTTGGCTCCTCTCGGACTCGACTCAAAGCCGACCGAATGGCGTCGATCAGCGTCGGGTTTAGCCGGTGCTCACCTGAGCCGGTGATCGTGAGGATTAAGACACTGCCTCGCTTCTCCAACGTACACATATCTCTCTTTCTCCAGCTAGGCACAAACTCTCTGTCTCTAGTTTGAAATTTATAAACCAAGGGAGTCTTAAATTGAATTGGGTTTTAGGGTAAAGTTTAAAAAACTATTGGCTGTGAAAATTCAAAATATTGCGTACATGACGATTCCATGTTACGTGTATATGTATACGCATTTAAAATTAAGAGTATGCGTAAGCTAAAGAATTCCAATTGAAAAAAGTCAGGTATAGAGAATTCCAAATAAAATAGCTTAGTTTATCTTTAAAGACTTCAAGCGCCATACATTAAATATGGATTACTGAAAATCAATAACAATGTTAGAGACTCAAAATTCCGGGAAGAAATTGAAAAATGTGAATGCCATCCATTTCTGTTTCCGGTCAAAAATGAAGAAAGAAAAGTAGGAAAAGTGATTAACACGAGTGAGGAATTCAGATATAGTGGGCTAATGCTGTATTATATCTTTGTTTTTCTTATAATATTGTTTAATAAACTTTCATACACCTAAATTAAATCTGTTCACAATGCAATTAGAGACATATCATATACATTAACAAAATTTAAGAAGAAAATTCTCACAATTTAATTTACTCTTGAAATTCAGTTCTGTTATGGGCAAATATTATATTAAATATCATCTTTTAGAATTTTTGAACATACTAAAAACTAAGATATTCATAAAGAAAATTCTCACAATCCAATGTAAGAAAATTATAAAAAAAAACAAACAAACTATAATTAGCCTACAAATGGGCACTTGCTAATAAAAATGTCCCTTAAGATTCTGTTTGTAGCATTATCAAGTTGAGATTTTACAAGAGAGAAAATGAATGGGCCTTGAAATTTAAGAGTGAAGGCTCTGCAAAGAAGATTTTGAGCCCACTCATTTTGTTGTGATGAGACATAACACCAATCAAAGGAAAAAAGGTCCCCTAAAATATTACAGCCATTAAAAACTTACAAATACAATTACAAATGTTTGAAATCAATAGTTTAAAGACAAATTTTAACTTAATAAATTAATTACTTCCTGTTAAAAACTAATGAAGGTTTGGTTTTGGATTTAATTCTAACTTGTGAAAAAAGTGATTAAATTGATAACTTTAAAGTTGATATTTTCTAAAAAAGACATCAATAATTATAAGCAACTCATTTAATACCGTAACTGGGTAAATATTTTTCATTATTAAAATGAATAATCTCACTCTCAATAATTGAGACTCTTTCTTTTTTAAATATCAAGTGGCATTTTTTTAACCCTTTATCAAGGCTTAATAATTATGATTAATGAATGAATGAATTAATTAATTAATTTTCTTATTATTGAGGCGTATGTTACCCACACTGTTTATTTATTTTTGTATGTAGTTAGTGTCGTCCAATCAACTTGCCACAATATATTTTTTGGTCTTCATGCAATGACAAATTTAGTGGCGGCCGAACATTGCCCACGTTCATTTTTTTTTATCCAACGGCTATAAATCTAAATCGTTGATTTGATCGGACGGCTAAAAGTGCCTGATCGAGTCATTTTTTGTCTCTTGTGCTTTTGACCAGACAGTCCACTGGGAAATTACAAAGAAAGACGTTTCTTTTGGGCAGACGAGGGCATTTCCGTCTTTGCATGATGATGCGTAGCATCCTCTAAAAATTAAGGAACATGAAAAAAGGGTGAGTTATGATTTATGGCTTTGAAGATAAATATAATTGCTTTCACAACGTCTTTTAAAATATACAATTTATTTTTCACGTGATAAATATTTATATTACATTAAAATATTAATCAACATTAAGAATAATTTAGTAACTACTTAGCACGCTCTTATACAATAAATAAATTATATTTATGGTATTGTATTTGTTTAGAAATTAATAAAAAAAAGTAAAATATTCAAAATAAAAAAAATATATATAGAGGATAAATAAATATATAAAATATAAATATAAATATAAATCTGATAAAAAAAAATGCAAAATGGTGTAATTTTTTCAGCAATTTAACATTTTTCTATCAAAAGTTTCTTTCTAGTTTTAATAATAAAAAAAAAAAAGGGTACATCTCATTGATTGGGAAATATAGTTTTTTTATATCTAACTTATATATCACCATACCGACAATAAAGACAATTTTATAACTTTAAATTTTCTATAGTTAGAGTTGTGTCCAAATTTGGTCAAATAGTTAATGCTAATAAATATTGATTTCATATTTTAATTCATATATGTAACTTAAATTTATTATACATTTATAGTATTTTAATCAATCCATATTTTTTTTTTAAAAAAAAAAAAAGCTTACACATTAACCACGTGATCTATATATAATAATATACTTGAGAAAATGGTTTGCCCATGTGAAAGCAATATATTCTCACTGAATTTGGATCTTCATATCAAGAAATTAAAAAAGGAAACAATAATCATGGTTTTCCACAAAATTTGACCAAATCTTGAGAAAAGAGTTAGTCACCAGTCCATTGAATGTAATAAACCCCACAACAATAAAAAATTAATAACTCTGTTTACTAGGTACAATACATCTATATATACGTATATGCATTTGATTTACTGTGCATGCAAATCAGTACGTACTGGAGAAGGAGTCATGGCAGAGAATGAGGTGAAGTTGCTGGGAATGGAGCCGAGTCCATTTGCGATGAGGCCAAGAATCGCTTTTAACCTGAAATCAATAAATTACGAGTTCGTGGAGGAGACAATGGCACCCAAAGGCGAGCTTCTTCTTCGATCCAATCCCGTCCACAAGAAAGTACCAGTTCTCATCCATGGTGACAAGCCCGTATGCGAGTCTCTCATCATCGTAGAGTACATTGACGAAGCATGGTCGTCTTCCTCCGCTCCCTCCATTCTCCCCTCCGATCCCTACGACCGTGCCACTCACCGATTTTGGGCAGCCTATATCGACGAAAAGGTTGGGTTTTTAATTCTTAATGCATTTCATCGAACATCTTGTTCGCAAAACTCTAAATCCAGCTTTTTTAACGTTTAATTTCAGTGGTCCCCATCCCTGAAAGGACTTGGTGTTGTGGAAGATGAAGAAGCGAACAAAGCGACAATCGAGCAGTTGGAAGAAGGGTTAGTGCTGTTAGAAGAAGCATTTGAGAAGATGAGCAGAGGGAAAGCTTTCTTCGGGGGAGATGAAATTGGGTACCTTGACATTGCGTTGGGATGCTATTTGGGTTGGGTGAGAGTGATGGAGAAAGCTAATGGATTGAAGCTGATTGATGAGTCCAAGACGCCTTGTCTGGCGAAATGGGCGGAGAGCTTCTGCAGTCATGAAGCGGTGAAAGGTGTGATGCCGGAGACCGAGAAGCTTGCGGAGTTTGCTAAGGTAATCTTTCCGAGAATGGCAGGTGGCAAATAAATTTGTGGATTGGGTTTGTTGAAGTACTAAATGAGTTGTTTTGGTTTTATGGGTATTTATCCTTTGTCAGGATGGATTGACTTGTTGTTTGAAACTTGATATTTGGTGGTACTCTTATTAATAAATTTCATTGTTATATAAATATATATCTCTTTCTTTTAAAGTCAAACATTATTGTTTGGAGTAATTCTACATTTAATTTTCTAAAAAAAAAACCTTCCCTAATCAAACTCAAACGTCTTACATGAGGAGGGAATAGATAAAGTTGGGTTGCTAGAGTCATGATCCGTCAGTGACATATAAAGGCTCTCTCTAGTTAAGATATTGATCATCCGAGTATATAATACATTCAGTTCTTATAATAAAAAATATCTTAAATTATTCAACAATATCATTCAATAATACATTAAATTCATCAAAATTTATGTTTGGAATAGATTCTTTAGAATATCCTCCAAACATCCCCTTCAACAATAATTTTCAGTACACCTATAAAAATTATTGTCCCCGCATATCACACTCAATCTCATCCAACCACTAATACCAAGGGATGCAACAATATTTAGTTTAAAATATCTCATTGGTGGCATAGCATATGAATGTTATATTAAAGGTAAAGGAATTGGAGGTGTATGTTGTTCTTGTTCCATTGCTTGTTCGTAGTCATAAAGGCCCCTGACCTTGTCAGCTTCATTAGCAGACATTAAGGGTCTACCATTTTCCTACTATGTATCACTTAATTTATACTCTACAACATTTTCCAAAACCTTGTCATAAATTATGTTCTACCATCTTTGTGAGCAAATTCAAAATTTAGTCTCAACTAGGATCAAGTGATATCCTTTTTGGTGCTAGTCATTTTTTATTTATAAGATGTTTTACAGTCTCTAGACAAAATTTTGTATTTTTGATATCATTGAGATGTGCCACAATGTCTTCTAATTAGTATCACTTTTTATTATAGACATCTCATATACCTTTCCTTTCTGAGCCAAGCCCTGTAATACTCACTCTTGACAAAGTAAACCATCTTTTGTGTAATACTCAAATTTATTATTTTTATTTTTTAATTTATTTTAATTTATATTAGAATTTTAGTTTAATTTGTCAATATTTAATTTATAAGGTTTTAATTTAATTTAATAAAAATAATAATGATAAAATATGGTAAAATTATTTTTGGGATTTAATTGGAATTGATTTTAGAAAAAATGGGTGAAAATTTAGATTTTGGGGGTGTTTTTGAAAAAAAAAAAAAAATCGGAAATCGGGGGGTCAAAATACAATTTAGGAAAGTTGTGCCACGTAAGCAGTCCAGTCAGCAACCCCAGCCAACCATAACACGCCGCGTGGCAAGGAAGCTGACGTGGGAGGCCATGTGGGCGATCCACGTGTACGCGATCGAACGGTCCAGATCTCACGCGTGCGGACGACCCAGATCTCACGCGCACGGACGGCCCAGATCTCACACGTGCGAACGGCCCAGATTGAATCACGCACGGACAGCCCAAATCGCATTGCGATTGACGGTCCAGATTTATTCCCATTTTTATCGCGATCGGACGGTTCAGATTAAATCGTGATGAACGGCTGAGATTAAAAGGGGAATGTTATAAATAACTTCACCCACACCCAACCCCAAACCCTAGCCGCCAGTACCCTCGCCGGAGAAGAAGAACCAGTCACCGGAAAAGCCGGCCGCCGCCACCCGTCGCCGCACCGGAGGATTTTTCGACCGCCAAACGAGGTAAATTTTCTCTCCTTGGCTCGTTTTTCGATGCTGAATTCACCTATGGCCAAATCGGAGCCAAACCACCAGCCAATCGGCTGAAAAATACCACCGAAATCCAGTGGCACCGCCGCGGCTTCCCTCAGTTTTTGCCTCCGATGAGGCCCTTTCCAATTCCTGTTCGATGCAATTTTTACACCACTGTGATCACTGTCCTTTTCTCTACAGGTTGAACGAAGTAAAACATCAAATTGCGACTCGCGCCGGAGAAGCCGCCGCACCCGAGAGCTCCACCGCCGGTAAGTCTCAGTTTTTCGTGATTTTTTTGCCCACCGAAGCCCTAGGGTTGTTTTATTGCAGAAACCAATGCAAGTTTGGCCAAATTCGGCCGAAAACGACCAACTCGAGGTGGATCGATGCCGTGGGCGGCGGTGCCGTCGCCGGAGCACGGCGGAGCCGCCGTGCCAGAATTTTGATATTGGCCGTAAAGGAGCCCTGGGTCTGATTTGAAATTTTTTGGGACACGTACAGGTACCGGTAGTGCGTTTCAGTTTTCTAAAAAAAATTCAAAAAATTTAGGGACAGCCCGTAGGCGCATTGTAGAGCTGATTTCAGACCCCAAAACAAGTAAGGATTTCTCACCTTATTTTCTATCACGGTATTAAAGCTCAATAAATAATAAAATAGCATTTCGTGAATTAATAGATATGTATAATTAATTAAGGTTGCTAATGGAGGTCGAGTCTGATATATTTTCGGTCAGTTGTTGTTTTAGTTATTTTACAGTTTTAAATGCATTATGGTATCTGATCTATTTATTTTATGGTTTTGAATGCATGAATCACTGTTTACTTCATTATGGCTTGATTTTGTGAATCCGATGATATGCCTGCCTTTTTGGATGCTCGTTACTGATTTAAATATTCATGATTATGTGAGAAACATAAAACTAAGAAAAAAAAATAGAAAATGTATGTGAATTGATAAATGGATAATGTGGACAGCCTGACTAGATATCCTGGGAGATGGTAGATGGACCGGATCCGTAGGGAACCCTACCGGGAACGTGGTCTCTCATATCGGACGGGGTATGGAGACCTTATGTATTTTGGCGCCCATACCGGACGGGGTATGGGGACGACCCGTTTCACCCTCATACCGGACGGGGTATTAAGGTTTGTGGTTTTGGCGCCCATACCGGACGGGGTATGGAGACAGCCTGTTTCACCCTTATACCGGACGAGGTATTGAGGTTCATGATTTTGGTGCCTATACCGGACGGGGTATGGGAACGGTCATGGAATCAGGTTATTAATGTTAATGATTCACGTGTAGCGGGGACCCCCTATAGATCCCCATGGATACTAGTAAGCTGGTAAAAGAGGAAATTTGTTATTTGATTATTGAAGTACAAAAGTATAACATGTGTTATGTTACAAAGTGTATATGATTTTATGATGGTTATAATGTTATTGTTTTCATATATTATTTTCACGAATCTCACCGGGGTAAGTGGACAGTAAAGATTTTTATTATTAATAAATTAGTTTGTTATAAATTATGCTCTATTGGTCGTTTTTATTTTCTACCAACCTTTACTCCTGTGGCAGTGAGATAGTGTGATGTCTTTACTGGGCTAGTGTAGCTCATTCCTTACTTAACCATTTCAGATCAAGAAGACGTGATTCCCGACCAGTTCCGCAGGAAGACGGGCGAGTTAGACGCCTAAAGATTTTATAGTCCTATTTATAGTTTTTGTTTCGAGTATTTCTTTTAATTAGCTTATTTTTTCATACGTTGAATACGTTTATGGGTATTGTGTAATGGATGTTAATCAGAATTTTTATTTCGCTTCTGCATTTAGAATTTTTAATACGTACATCTTCATTTAAATGTCAGGGGTCGTTACATTTTGAATATATTCACAATTGTCAATAAGCAATCCATGACTTATGGGAATACTAATTATATGATATACTTGAAATAGAGAGAATATATTATTTACCAATGACATATTTCACATTGCATTATGATGAAAGATTAAATCAAATATCTTATTAACTGTTTGACAGCGAGTATCGGGGCCCAAATCTTGTATCCGTGTTGTAATTGGACCCACTTATCTTTTCATACATCAATACCTTGCACATTTCTGACCAGCCATCTCAAGCTTTTTTCTAGCAAGTCCTGCCTGACCAAGGTGTTGGGCTAGGAATAACTTAGCTTATGTCTCAGTTGAGCACTTTTTAACTCCTTGCTACTTAAATATTTTACTCTCAACAACTTACTAAGCGCAAAGTTAAGATATTAAATCAACCTTCAACTTCCTTAGTTAACATGATTAGATTGAAACTATGGAGGCCTCCAAAACCCTATACCATCTTCACTCTTTGATTCTAAAAGTTTTAACCGTGTAGACCAATGGATCTTACTATCTCCAACATTTTCACTCCACCAAAATCTATAATTAACTACTTCACTACAAGCATATAAATTTTGATATGAGAAAAATACACGTAAGGTGGGTAGTAATTACTTGTGCTATCAATTTGAGCATTGTTTCTCTTCCAGCATGGGAAAGTGATGCAATTTAATTATATATTATTAAATTATAATAAAATTTATCAAAAAATTATAAAACATATGCAAATAGTTTTAGGTATTATAGATATTTTCTATTATATATAATATTATTGATCCTTTTATTAATTTAAATTCAATTATGGTATTAAAATATTTTTTAATAAAAGAATAAATAGCTTTTTTAAAAAATAATTTTTGTAGAAACTAATATTTCGTATAATGTTACATAAATTAGAAATAAAAATAAAAAATAAATTTATATAAAGAATAATTGAATGAAATGTTTATTTTTGTAACAAATATAAAATAAGAAATTTACAACATTTACATTTTAGGAAGATATTCATATTATTCGTAATAAAATTAAGATATTCATGAAGAAAATTCTCGCAATTTGACCTAAAAAAAATATCAAAAACTATAGTTAGTTTACAAATAGACACTTCCTAATAAAATGTCCCTTGATATTCTATTTGTAGCATGATTAAGTATAAATTTTGTATTATGAAAAAAGTAAGTATTTTTTATATTTAATACACCAAAAATTGTATCAAAATGTACTCATAAGCTCCGGTTTGATAAAATTCTTTTCTATAAATTTTGCATTTTTCTAAAATTTGATAAAATATATTATCTATAATAAAATTAAGATATTTATGAAGAAAAATCTCACAATTCGAACGAAAAAATTAACAAAAACTATAATTAACCTACAAATGGATACTTTCTAATAAAATATCCTTTGAGATTCCATTTATAGCATTATTAAGTATAAATTTTGCATTCTAAAAAAGGTAAATATTTTTATATTTAATATACTAAAAAACGTATCAAAATTTCTTTATAAATTTTGATTTCGTCTGATAAAAGTAATTATATTCGTTTAATTTATATATAATTTAATTAGGATATATAGCTCTTATGTTTGGATTGTAAAATAAGTTACATGAATAGACATACAAATATAAATGAGGTAAAAGTTGAAATGAAAATTTGATACACATTTGAACGTGGGTTTAAATATCCATAAAATTAGTTTAACACGCGTGCATGTATCTACAATCTCATTTGAGTTTTCTATATTATTTTAACTTTTTTTTAGATTAAAACTATTATATTTTAACTCTTGAAGATTTTTTAATGAATAATAATAAAGTCACGACTCACATAAATTATGGATAAGCAAAAGAGAAAATTTCAAAAAATATTTTCTTGGAAGATTTGAAAATCTACATGATTGGCATGTGATTATTTTTAAATAAATGTGTTGAATTAAGGCAAGAAAAGTAAATTTTGAAATCGATAATAACATAAAAGAGAAGATTATCATCGTGTGCAAAGACTGACCGGTTTAAAGTAGACATATTGTTACACCAACTCATAATTAAGGATAATCATATATGAAAACAAGTCTAAAATTAATGAGAAATTTTGTTATAACTCAGGATCAATTCAATTTAGAATAGAACTCTATAAATTTTTTTGCACATAGTTCATAACAATAGAAAATCAGTATCTATCGCTAGATCAATACCTACAAGGTTTTCAATGTATCTGAACGAAAGAACACTAAAATTATAAGTTGACGGTAACTACTCTATAATGTTTGAGTTTGGTATAATCAAATTTTAACTTATTAAATATGTTGATAGAGTTGTAATAATTAAATTATATTAAGTTTTGTTACATTTCTGAGTTAAATTTCTTTTAACTATATTAATAAGAAGTAGTTGAAAAGTTGATCTTATCTTTTTAAGTTCTTTTTGAAATTGAGTAAAATACATACCACTAAGAAGCTAGATTGGAGTAGAGAATTTGAGCGGTTCTTGAAATTTTAACAGTGAATGACTCAGCAAATAAGATTATAACTCATTTTGTTGTGATGAGCTATAACACCAATCAAATGAAAAAGGACCTAAATTTTATAGCTATTGGAAATTTCGGTACGTAGACTAATACTTAAATACATGTATTTATTGAGTTGATTGGAAAATGTTTTATATTAGATTTATTTGGATACTTGTCAAATTTTTTGAAATTTTCACTACTTTTAATATAATTAGAAATGTTTGAAGACAAATTTTGACTTAATAATTACTTCCTATTAAAAATGAAATGAAGGTTTGGTTTTGGATTTAATCCTAACTTGTGAAAAAGTGAATAATCTCCTTTATACACGGTAAATATTTTTCATTATTAAAATGGATAATCTCACTTTCAATAATTGAGATTCTTTCTTTTTTAAATATCAAGTGGCACTTTTTTTAACCCTTTATCAAGGCTTAATGATTATGATTAATTAATTAATTAATTAATTTTTTTTTTATTATGATTAAAATATCGAGCCATATGTTATCCACACTGTTTATTTATTTTTCTATATCATTAGTGTCGTCCAATCAACTTGCCACAATCCATTTTGTGGTCTTCATGCAATGACAAATTTAGTGGCGGCCGAACACTGACCACGTCGATTTTTTCATCCAACGGCTACAAATCTAAATAGTTGATTTGATCCGACGGCTAAAAGGGCCTGACCGAGGTGGAACCTCGTCATATTTTGTCTCACACACTTTTGCCCAGACAGTCCACTGGGAAATGACACGTGAAGCCCTTTCTTTGTGCAGGCAAGGGCATTTTCGTCTTTGCATCATACACGGTACTTCCTGTAAAAATTAAGGAGATAAAAAAAAAAGGTTCTCTCTCGTTTTATTTGGAGATAATAGCTTTTCATTTCTAAACACACACATCCTACGTCAACAATAAAAGACAATTTATGACTTTTAAATTTGATTGTATACAAATTTGGTGAATAGTAAATGGTAATGAATATTGAGTTATTATTTTAATTCATATACGTGACTTAATTTTATTATACATTTATGGTAGGATACTTTTTAATCAATAGATAATTTTTAAAATAAAAACTTACCCATTAAACCCATATATAATTTATGCTTGATAAAATGTTTACCGATGTGAAAGCAATAAATTCTCATTAAATTTTAAATCTTCATATCAAGAAAATAAAAGGAAATAATAATAATGAGTCTCTACAAATTTTGACCAAGACAGATGACTGTTATTAATTCACACATAAATTTCAAATGACCAGTCCACCGAATGTAGTAAACCCCAAAAAAAAAAAAAAAAATTATTACATGTATTTGTGTGTGTGTGTGTGTGTGTGTATGTGTGGACTACAGAAAATCCAACCCCTTATCGTGTACGGTCACAATACCTTACGTTACACGCCAATTCTGGAAAAATCCAGCGCCCACCTTTCTATTCTTGTTATCAACTACTCGGTCCTCGCCACATTTACTGCGTTCACATTGTAAATCTCTCTCATAACTCTGTATACTAATTATATATATATATAGACGTGTATGCACTGGAGTTGTTGTGTATGCAAACCAGGAAGTACCGGAGAAGGAGTCATGGCAGAGAATGAGGTGAAGTTGCTGGGTTCATGGCCGAGTCCATTTGTGATGAGGCCAAGAATCGCTTTTAACCTGAAATCAATAGACTACGAGTTCGTGGAGGAGACAATGGCGCCCAAAAGCGAGCTTCTTCTTCGATCCAATCCCGTCCACAAGAAAATACCAGTTCTCATCCATGGTGACAAGTCCGTATGCGAGTCTCTCATCATCGTAGAGTACATTGACGAAGCGTGGTCTTCGTCCTCTGCTCCCTCCATTCTCCCATCCGATCCCTACGATCGTGCCACACACCGATTTTGGGCAGCATATATCGACGAAAAGGTTGGATTTTAATTCTCAATTTTCTTTGAAGCATTTCATCGAACATCTTGTGTGCGAAACTCTGTTAACTCCAGTCTTATTAATGTTTGATTTCAGTGGTTCCCATCACTGAAAGGACTTGGTTTTTCCGAAGAAGAAGAAGCGCAGAAGGCGGTAATCGGGCAACTGGAAGAAGGGTTAGCGCTGTTAGAAGAAGCGTTTGGGAAGATGAGCGGAGGGAAAGCTTTCTTCGGGGGAGATGAAATTGGGTACGTTGATATTGCGTTGGGATGCTTTTTGGGTTGGGTGAGAGTGATGGAGTCAACTCAAGGAGTGAAGCTGATTGATGAGTCGAAGACGCCTGGTCTGGCGAAATGGTCGGAGAACTTCTGCGGTCATGAAGCGGTGAAAGGTGTGATGCCGGAAACGGAGAAGCTTGCGGAGTTTAGGAAGGTAATCTTAGCGAGAACGAGAGGTGGGAAATAAATTTGTGGACCAGAGAGGGATTGGGTTGGTGAAGTAATAAATGAGTTGTTTTGATTTTGTGGGTATTTTATCCTTTGTCAGGATTTGTCTTGTTGTTTGAGAACTTGAAATTCGGTACTACTCTATTAATAAATTCCAGTATTATATAAATCAAATATTTACATGTCCTTTTTTTTTAATCAAATCATAATTGTTTGGAGTAATTCTACATTAATTTTAGTTTTTTTTTTTTTTTAAAGAAGTTCTTTAGGTCTTTAGGTACAGCGTCTTTCTGAATAGGAAAGTAGCCACTTGATTATATGATATAAAAATTTAATTTACATAATAAAAATATTTTAGATCATTCAAACAATATCATTAGTAATAGATTAAATTTATTAAGATGTAGATAGGTATTGGAAATAATTTTTTAGATATTTTATAAGTATTTCCTTCAACAATAAG